CTACGACTACGACTACGACTACTAGTACTATTGCTACTACTTCTACTTCTACAGTCTAGTGGTGTCAACAGAGAGCATCTTGACGCACCAGGGGGGTCTGGGCGGGATCCGGACAAATCCGGCAGCCCCAGGAATCCTTAGAACTCCTAAGGAATTCTTAGGAATCCTTAGGTATCCATTCCCAGAACATTACTCCCAGGCCACATTTTGAACGCCGGGAGCCAACTGTAGGCCACTTCGTGTTCTTCGTGTTCCCAGAACACCATTCCCAGGCCTCAATTTGAATGCCCAGAGCCAACTGTAGGCCACTTCGTGTTCTTCGTGTTCCCAGAACGCCATTCCCAGACCACATTTTGAATGCCCGGAGCCAACTGTGGGCCACTTCGTGTTCTTCGTCTTCTCAGAACACCATTCCCGGGCCACATTTTGAATCCCTGGAGCCAACTGTGGGCCACTTCGTGTTCTTCGTCTTCCCAGAACACCATTCCCAGGCCACATTTTGAACCCGGAGCCAATTGTACGCCACTTCGTGTTTCCCGTGTTCCCGGAACACCATTCCTGTACCATATTTTAATTGCCCGAAGCCAGCTGTGGGCCACTTCGTGATCTTCGTGCTCCCAAAACACGAGTCCTGTGCCATATTTTGAATGCCCGAGCTGACGCAGGCTGAGGCCGAGGCAGGGTGAGGCCGAGGCAGGCTGAGGCTGAGGCAGGCTGAGGCTGAGGCTGAGGCACGCCGAGGCAGGCTGAGGCTGAGGCTGAGACTGAGGCAGGCTGAGGCTGAGGCTGAGGCAGTGGCTGAGGCTGAGGCAGGCTGAGGCTGAGGCAGGCTGAGGCTGAGGCCGAGGCAGGCTGAGGCTGAGGCTGAGGCTGAGGCAGTGGCTGAGGCTGAGGCTGAGGCTGATGCAGGCTGAGGCTGAGAGGCTGACGCTGAGGCTGAGGCAGGCTGAGGCTGAGGCTGAGGCCGAGGCTGAGGCTGAGGCTGAGGCTGAGGCAAGCCGAGGCAGGCTGAGGCTGAGGCTGAAGCTGAGGCAGGCTGTGGCTGAGGCAAGCTGCGGCTGATGCAGGCTGAGGCTGAGGCTGATGCAGGCTGAGGCTGAGGCAGGCTGAGGCTGAGGCTGAGGCAGGCTGAGGCTGAGGCCGAGGCAGGCTGAGGCTGAGGCTGAGGCTGAGGCTGATGCTGAGGCAGGCTGAGGCTGAGACAGGCTGAGGCTGAGGCTGAGGCAGGCTGAGGCTGAGGCGAGGCAGGCTCAGGAAGCTGAGGCTGAGGCAGGCTGAGGCTGAGGCTGAGGCTGAGGCTGAGGCTGAGGCCGCTGAGGCTGACGCTGAGGCTGAGGCAGGCTGAGGCTGAGGCTGAGGCCGAGGCAGGCTGAGGCTGAGGCTGAGGCAAGCCGAGGCAGGCTGAGGCTGAGGCTGAAGCTGAGGCAGGCTGAGGCTGAGGCTGAGGCAGTGGCTGAGGCTGAGGCAAGCTGCGGTTGAGGCAGGCTGAGGCTGAGGCTGAGGCAGGCTGAGGCTGAGGCAGGCTGAGGCTGAGGCTGATGCAGGCTGAGGCTGAGGCTGAGGCTGATGCAGGGTGAGGCTGAGAGGCTGAGGCTGAGGCTGAGGCAGGCTGAGGCTGAGGCTGAACCGAGGCAGGCTGAGGCTGAGGCTGAGGCAAGCCGAGGCAGACTGAGGCTGATGCTGAAACTGAGGCAGGCAGTGGCTGAGGCTGAGGCTGTGGCTGAGGCTGAGGCAAGCTGCGGCTGAGGCAGGCTGAGGCTGAGGCTGATGCAGGCTGAGGCTGAGGCAGGCTGAGGCTGAGGCTGAGGCAGGCTGAGGCTGAGGCTGAGGCAGGCTGAGGCTGAGGCTGAGGCCGAGGCAAGCCGAGGCAGGCTGAGGCTGAGGCTGAGGCTGAGGCAGGCTGAGGCTAAGACAGGCTGAGGCTGAGGCTGAGGCAGGCTGAGGCTGAGGCTGAGGCCGAGGCAGGCTCAGGCCGAGGCAGGCGAATCCTTCGGAATCCTTAGGATTCCCTGGGAATCCTTAGGAACCCCTAGGAATCCCTAGGAATCAGGTTTCCTAAGGATTCCTAAGGTTTCCTAATAAGGATTCCTGCGTATTCCTAAGGATGCCTAAGGATGCCTTAGGAGTCCCTAGGAGTCCTTAGGGTTCCATTGGATCCTAAGGCCGTTGCCACTGCGACTGTCATTGCGAATGCGACTGCAACTGCGAGAACAGCAGACTTCTAAAACTGGATTCGCACCTGAATATTAAGGGACAGTCTTCCAGAGATGCTTCTACACATCACTGTTAGGTTGCTTTGCCGGGGTAATATTTTCAAACCGTTACACATACCATTACTACGACGACTACTACTACTACTACTACTACTACTACCACTACTACTACTACTACTACTACTACTACTACTACTACTACTACTACTACCACCACGACTACTACTACTACTACTACTACTACTACTACTACTACTACTACTGTTCCATCTCCTCCTGCTACCACTACTACTGCCACCGCGACTACCACCATTACTACTGCTACCGCTACCATCAGTTCCACTACTACTGCTGCTACTACTACCACTGCTACGACGACTACTCGTACTACTTGTATGTCTATTTCCACTATCGCGGACCCGAACGGGTGGCGCTAATAGCATCACGACTACAATTGCTGCCACTTCTACTGCTGATCTCACAAGTAATATCATGATTGCTGCTATGATCACTGCTAGTAGTAGTAGTGGTAGTAGTAGTAGTAGTAGTAGTAGTAGTAGTAGTAGTACTACTACTACTACTACCAAACGTACCATTGCGACGATTACGACTACCACCGCTACTATTACTACTACTACTACTACTACTACTACTACTACTAACACTACTGCTACTACTACTACTACTACTACTACTGCTACTACTGCTACTCTACTACTACTACTGCTAGTAGTGCTACTAGCACTTGTGCGATTACTGCTACTACTTCTCATCATAGTATTATTACACTTTCTTTTGGTACGACTACTATCACTACTGTTACTACGACCACTACTGCTACTCCTACTCTTACTAGTGTCCCTACTCTTACTCCTACTACGACTACTATCATTATCATGTGTATTACTGGGGGTACTACTAGTGCCATTACTGCGACGACGGCAACTACTATTACTACTACTACGACTACGACCTTGACTCCTCCTGCTTCTACTGCTTCTTCTACTACTACTACTACTACTACTACTACTACTACTACGACTACGACTATTACTATTATTACTACTACTACGGCTACTGTTACTACTACTACTACTACTACTACTACTACTACTACTACTACGGCTACTACAGTGAGGACTACTTCTGTACTGCTTTACTACTACTACTCCTACAACTACTACTACTACTACTACTGCTACTGCTGCCACAATCACTATTATGGTTTCTACTACTGCTGCGGATGCTGCTGGCACTTCTACCACTCCAGCTACTACTACTACTACTACTACTACTACTACTACTACTACTTCTACTACTACTACTATTACTACTACTACTACTACTACTACAACTTCTTCTGCTACACTTACTTCTGCAACAACGGTAACTACTATTACTTCCGCTACGACTACCGCTACTACTGCGGCTACTGCTACGACTACTGCTGCTATTACATCTGGTATTTCTTTCACTACTACAACCTGTACTATTCATTTTACCACCACTAGTCGTAGTACGACTACAACTACTATGAATACTACTACGGCTACTACTACGACAATTACTGCTACTACTACTACTACTTTTACTAATTCTACTACCACTACTACTACTACTACTACCACTACTACTACTACTACTACTACTACTACTACTGCTACTACTGCGACTACTGCTATCCATTTTATTACCACTACCACGACTTGTGCCATTATCATTTTTTTTCATTTTTTGCGATTATTACCACTACTATTACCAATATTGCGTTTACGATTCCTGTTCCTGATACGAGTACCACTGCTACAACTACTACAGCAACAACTACTACTGCTATTCCTACCACTGCTACTACTACAACTACTGTTACTACTATTACTACGAAGATTTCTACGACTGCCATTACAACTTGCTGCCACGACTACCACTACTACTGCTGCTACTACTACTACTACTACTATTACTAGTTCTATTACTATTACTATTACTATTACGACTACTACTATTATTACTACTACTACTACGAGTACTACTACTACTACTACTACTACTACTACTACTACTACTACTACTACTACTACTACTACTACTACTACTACTACTACTACTACTACTACTACTACTAGTACTAGTACTACTACTACTACTACTACTACCTTTACTAGTACTACTACTTCGAGTATTACTACTATTACTACTACTACAACTACTACTGCTACTACTAGTACTGCTACTACTACCACTACTACTACTACTACTACTACTACTACTACTACTACTACTACTACGACTACTACTATTACTACTACTACTACTACTACTACTACTACTACTACTACTACTGTTATTATTATTATTATTATTAGTAGTATCATTATGAGTATTATTATTACTACTACTACTACTGCTGCTGCTGCTGCTACTACTACTACTACTATTATTATTACTACTACTACTACTACTACTACTACTACTACTACTACTACGGCTGCTGCTGCTGCTACTACTACGGCTACTACCACGACTACTGACATGCGCACGGGTATTTTTTAGCAATCCTGGTATTCGTAGAGTGCTGTGAACATTTTGTTCATCACAACGACTAGTAATTCTATCCAGTACGGATACATCTAAGCTGCATGGGAATACGCTTTCTGGGCGGGTTTCTTGGATCTACGCTGGATCTTCTTGCTGGCGCCTCGGGCGCCGCCCCTGGCGCGCTCCTTGCGCCAGGGACGGGTATCCAGCGCCGACCAAAGAGATCTGCGCGGACCTTCCTGTTCTAAGGAAGCGCGCTGAGGCCGCGGCGGCGACCGTGGCAGCCATTGCGGCGGAAGCTGTGGAGTACGGGGCGGGGCTGGACGCGAGGGCCGCTGGGCAGAGCAGCGAGGCGGAGGGGCTCCGCCACGCGCTGGGAGGCCAGAGGGAGGGCCTGCAGGCCAGGCTGGAGGGCCTGGCCCCAACCTCGCGGCAACTCCGCCGGGACATCGAGGAGGCCGAGACCACGCAGCGGGAGTTGCTGCGGCAGGTTGGCCAGCTGTCGGAGAAGCTGGAGCAGATGCGGCGGCAGCGGGCCGAGTGCGACAGGCAGGAGGAGCGCCTGGTCGCTGAGCTGCAGGGCATAGAGTCCACGCTCGCCCAGCAGCTGGCCTCGGAGGACCAGGCCAGGCAGCAGGTCGACACGGCCCGGGCCCTGGCCTCGACGGTGGCCGACCTGGCGGGCCAGGTCGGCGCGGGCTTCGAGCAGGCGGCCACCTCGGGCGACTCGCCCGCCGCGCGGCTGGCCGCGGCCGCCGAGCGCAACCGCGCCGCCTCGCTGGCCGCCGCCGTGGCCCTCGCCGACCGCGAGGTCGAGCGGCTGGGGGACGTGGCGCGGGCGGTTGGCGCGTGCGTCGCGGTGGCCGAGGATCCACGGGAGGGCAGCTGCGCACCACCGCCGCCCGTGGCCAGGGCCACATCCTGGGCCTTGGGATGGTGCGCAGACCCACCTGGCCGAGGCCAGGAGGTCGCATACGCCGTCTCGGGGCCCGGGGCGGCCCTGGCTGGGGGCGGCGGTGGCGGTGGTGCGCCGCCGCCGCTCCCGAAGAGGAGCGCGAGAGGAGCAGGGAGGCGATGGCGGCCCTCGGGGTCTCGGCCTTCACGCTGGAGTCGGACGTCGTCGGGGAAGCGAACATCTCGCAGTCGCTGCAGAGCGCGCTGGACGAGCTGGAGCGCACGCCGCTGGCCGAGCTGGACCGGCTGCGCGAGGAGCTGCTTGCGGCCGACGGAGTGCCGCGGGCGGCGGGCCTCGCGGCGGCGCTGCAGGAGCGGCGGCTGGAGCTCGAGGGTGCGAGGGCGCGGGTGGCCGCCCTGCTGGAGCTCCCAGGCGAGTCGGTGGACGGCTTCCTGCAGAGCGTCGGCATCGAGGCCGACGCGGCCGTCAGCCTCGGCCCGAGGGGCGCGGGCGGGCGCCCCGTTCAGGCTCCCGTCCCCGCGGACGACCCCTTCCTCCTGAGCGGCGCCGCCGTGGCGGCGGGCGCCGGGTGCCTCGTGGGGTCCAGCTCTGACGCGGCGCCAGCAGGGGCCGTCGCGGAGTGCACGCCGCGGGCCACGCCGGCCGCTGCCGGGGCTGCCGCCGCGGCGGGCGAAGCGCCAGCGTTGCAGGCCCCCGCCGCGGCTGCGCTGGCGCCTCCCGGCGCCGCGGGTGGCGAGGCGACGGCAGTGCCTGCCGCCGCTGCAGCTAGTGAGCCGGTGGACGGCGCTGCGCCAGAGCTTCCCCCTTCCAGGGGTGGCCAGACGGCGGCAGTGTCCCTGTCCGCCGCCGCGGCAGCTGAGCTGCCAGGCGGCGAGGCGCCAGCCAGCGGCAGCGCCGCGACCGCCTCTGACGCCCAGGGAGGCGGAGCGCCGCCCGCCGTCACAGTCGAGGCCTCTCCTGCTGTCGCCGCTGAGCCCCCAGGCGGCGTGGCGTCTCCTGTGGGCGCCGTCAGTGCTGGCGCCGCGCCCACTGCCGCCGCTAAGGAGGGCGTGGCGCCGCCGACCGCCACAGCCGAGGCACCGCTTGATGTCGCCGCGGAGGTGCCGCCCGCCAGCGCCACCGAGACACCCTGCGCTTCGTCGGCGGCATCGCCTTCGAGCGGCGGCAACGACGGTGGTGGCCTGATGTCATACCACCCGCCAGCGCGTGGGGGCCATGGCGCAGCGGCTGATGTCGCTTGATGCTCTGCCGGGGACGGCAAGAGTGTCACCGTAGACCCAAACACCTCGCTGATCTTTGAAGGTGTGGGCTGCCGAGTCGCAGGGGGCGCCCAACGACCGAGCGTACAGTGCTCTACATTCGTTTCGCCGTTTCCCGAAACATCGAAAGTGCAAGCGTTTGGGGCGAGTTCGTCAGGGCTTGGACTTTTTATCCCCTGCTCGATGTGCATACGCCGCGCGCGCCGGTGGCCTGCTCGGCTAGGGCGGCCAGCGTCGCGACTCTGGGCCGGCGCACACCTGAAGTCCTGCCAGTCAAGCATTGGCGAAGCGTCCTGGCTTGCATATAGGCCCCGTAAAGAATGTTCCGAGAACCTTTTGTGGTTTGCACGGAATGTTCTTAGAGCGTTTCTGGCTGAGGCCGTTTTGGTTTCAAGCCTCGGATTGATGTTCTAAGAACATTGTGCTTGTTGTTAGAACTTTCTTGTACTCGAAGAGCGTGTCGTGATAGGCCTATATGAATGCCGGGACGGCCGGTCCCCGCTCAGACCAGCTGGCGACGCAGAGAACACGGGCAGATCGCGGACAAAAGACGCGCTCCGCGGCGCCGGGAAACCAGAGAAGGACCTGACGTGACCTGCCGGGGCGCCGGCTGTGGACGCATGCCCTTCCCGCGCTCCGCTCTCGCGCGCGGCTGGGCGTGCCGGCCCTCCGTGCGTGGCCTAGGTCGGGGCAGCAGTCCGAGCCTTCGCCTTCGCGGCTTCCCCTGGACAGGGGAGGTAGTCTGGGCACGACTGGTCACCCCGCCCGGAGGAGGAGTATGAGCAGGTGGCGGAGGGGGAGGAGGAGGAGGAGGAGGAGGAGGAGGAGGAGGAGGAGGAGGAGGAGGAGGAGGAGGAGGAGGAGGATAAGAAGAAGGATAATTCATAATAATATCAATGATAAGAAGAAGAGGAGGAGGAGAAGGAGGAGGAGCAAGGGGCAAGGGGAAAGGAGCACGGAGATGGAAACCAAGAGGAAGATGAGGGGGCGCAGGCGCATGAAGACGGGACATCGTGAGGAAGGGGAGGAGACGAAGCAGGATGACGCCGAGGAAACGGCAGAGAAGGAGAAGGAGGAGGAGAACGAGGGCCAGGAGGAGGAGGAGGAGGAGGAGGAGGAGGACGAGAAGGACGAGGAGGAGGAGAGAGAGGTGGAGGGCGAGGTCTTCTTCTTTTTGCCTTCTACCTCGTGCCTGTCTATCGCATAAGGGGGAGCTGGGCCGCCGGCCCCGGGGGTGGCCCACTTTTTCAAAACTCCCCCCCCCCAAACCCACCTGCGCTCTCCCCCCTTCCTCCCCCTCTTTGTTAATTCAAGCTTCGCGCGGCACGCTTAGCTTCGACCGGAAGAGGTGCGCTCTCGACCCGCGAATCAAAACAATTTGTCCCGGGGGTGGCCGACGCTTTTCGGGCCGCTTCGGGGCCTAGCACGCTGCTGGGGGGCCGCAGATCGGCCCTCGGAGCGACCAGACAGCCGTCCTGGCGGCCCAGGATGGCCCCGAGCCGCCCCGAAGACGGCCTCCATGGGGCCTCCGACGGCCCAAGAAGCCTCCCGAACGGACCAGGAGGCCCCCAAGACGGCCCAGGAAGGCTCCAAGAGGACCTCGGCGAGTGCCCCGCGAGGCCAAACTTATCAATGTTCCTTACATGTTTGGTGCAGGATTTGGGAGTTCTTGCCGCTTCGGGCTTCCAACGCTCCTAGACGGCTCAAGAGGCGCCCAATACCGCTCCGAAACGGCCCAAGAGGGGTCCAAGAGAGCCCCAAGACGGCGCCAGAGACCTCCCGGGAGCCCCAAGATGGCTCGAGAGGGCCCCAGGACGGCCCAAGGGGCCCCCCAGGACGGGCCCCAGAGCGGCCCAAGAGGGCCACAAGAGGGGGAACACGAACCCACAATTCCAGCCTTCAGCCCCCCACGACCCAGGAGGCCCAAAGAGGCCCCGACGAGGCGCCTCGAGGTTCCCATGAGGCCCCCCAACAGGCCCCAAGAGGCCTCCAAGAGGCCCGACAGAGGGCCCAAGAAGCCCCAAACGGTCCCCACGAAGCTTCACAGCCGCCCTCGACGAGGTTCCCGAGAGGCTTCCCACGAGGTGCCAACGAACACCCAAGAGGCCTGCGACATACGTACATAGTATGTATGTATGCATGCACATATATGCATCTATGTATCTGTATATGTATGTGTGTATATATATATATATATATGTATATATATGTGTATATGTACACGCGAAAGGTCCCATCCCCAGGGCACCGGAGGGGGACCCCGCTTGTACAGAGCGGCCCCCGCCCTCCCCGGGGGGTCCCACGGTCGGCCCTCGGAGTTCCGAGGCGACCCCGGGGCGTCCCACGGTCGGCCAAGACAGCCTCCAAACTCCAGGCGGCCCAGAGCGCCTCCAGGAGGCGCCCGAGGGGCCCCAAGAGCGGCCCGAAACGGTCTCACGCCGGCCAAGACGCCGCCAAGACTCTCCAAGAGGCCCCCCTGAGAGGGCGCGGGCTTTCAAGGTTGAGCGCAGGCAGTGGCCCTGAATAGGCCCATCTTGGAGCCATCTTGAAGCCCGGGAAGCACACCGAAAGCGAATCAGCGAGAAGGCCACAATCTGTCGTTGCCACACGGTGTTTGAAGGATTCTGGCGTCATAGGCGCCTCCTGGGGATCCCTTGGGGGCCTTTGGGGCCCTTGCTTCGGAGCTTTCGAGCCTCTCTTGTGGCCATCTTGGAGGCCATCGGGAAAAGTATCGTGGATGAAACGGGGATGCAGGCATGAGGGGCATCGACGATCGAGGCCCAGAATACCACAGAAGGCGCATGCGGAGGAGGGGGAGGAGGAGGAGGCGGAGCGAGGACGATAATCAAAGAGACAAGAAGGGGGAGAAACATAAGCAGTATTAGTCATAGCCAGAGTAGGAGAGGATCTCCATGTTCGGTTGGTGTAGAACAGCATGCGCCGGTGTGCGGCGATTGGCTAGAACTTGAGCCTGCGCGAAGGGCGCGACGGTCCCGATGCACCATGATTCGGCTCAAGCGACGTGCAATGTGGAGCCAGACTCGGGCACCCCAGTTCTCCTCTGATCTCTTTCAGCCCTGGACGACGCGTCGTAGAAGCCCCCAAAGACCCCTTGCCACGACGTTTAGGTTACCATATCAAATGGCGGCAGGTCCCACAACCAACCTTAAGGGAACTCCCGAGTCAACCTGGCAGCACCCAGCGGCAAGATGCGATGATTGATCCTCGAGCGCGACCTAGACCCTGAGCACGCGCGAAGCTTGCGCGTGGTTCTAGTTATCGATTCCCAGATGCTGTATCTTCCGCCCAGCCATCGGCAGCACTCGCCAGGCTGCTCGTTTGGTCATCTCTCCCAGGGCGGACCAGCCCTTGGGGGGGGATGGCTACGTCAGGGCGACGTTTCTGCCACTAGTCGGTCAGTGGGTCCGGTGGAGGGCGAGGACGACGACCGACGAGGGCGAGCCGAGAGCCGACGCGCGAGGCTGGCACGGACTGGCTGGCGTCCAACGTGTGGCTCAGCTCCCGGCCGGCAGGCTCCCGGCGGCTCTCGCCCGGCGGGCTGCGCCGTCCTCGCCTTCCGTCCCTCCTCCGCCGCTTGCCCCTCCACCTCTGGAGGGAGGGCGGAGGGAGGGAGGGCCAGGAGGAGGAGGAGGAGGAGGAGGAGGAGGAGGAGGAGGAGGAGGAGGAGGAGGAGGAGGAGGAGGAGGAGGATAGGGGATTGCCAAAGTTGCCCCTGGCCCGAGGTGCCCCCAGCTTTTCGCTCAGTTTTGGAGCCGGAGCCCCCTGGGGCCCTTCGGGGCTTTGTGAGGGGTGCTCTGGAGGCCATGGGGACCTCATTGGAAATCCTGGGGGCACCTTGGGTCAGGGGCACTTCTGGCAACATCCGAGGAGAGGAGGCCCTGCGCCAGAGGCTTCAACTTCGCCTGGTCCAGCGTGGTGCAGGCGGGCGCCACGGCGGACCCCTCGACGATGTGCTGCCGAGGGATGGCGAGCCGTCCCTCGGGAGTGCAGACGCATCTGCTTCTTTAGTTATCTTGCAGGCATTGACAGATCAACACATCGAACATATACACATGTAGAGGTGTATGTATGCATCGACGCATGCTTGCGTATACTCAAGTGATCGAGGCATCTACATGTATTGGGGTACATGTATGCGCGTTTGTGTAAACATGTACGGTGTATTTGTGTATCGATTTGCACATATGTATACACGTATCTGTACATACGCGCTCAGGAACCCCACGAGTGCGGACAGGAATGAGGCGTTGGTCTGTGTTGGGCGCGGCGCGTTGCGATCTGGATCGCATTTTCGCACAGCTCAAATGCCGAGGGCGAATGTGGGTAGAAGGCCAGCTGCACGCGCCGAATTCGAGTAGCCTCGATTCGGTAGGAAGTGGGAACCAAACGCCCACCGCAGGCGGGGGGAGGAGGAGGAGGAGGAGGAGGAGGAGGAGGAGGAGGAGGAGGAGGAGGAGGAGGAGGAGGAGGAGGAGGAGGAGGACTTGGAGGAGAGAGGAGGAGGAGGAGGAGGAGGAGGAGGAGCAGATAGCCCTCCTCCGCCTGGCTGGAAGGAGGAGTGGAATCGGCACGATCGAGATGTGTACGAAAAGAACAAGTACGAAGACCGACAGCAGTTCCTGCCCACTTAGGGCAGGATTCGCTGTCGGCGTCGCTGGTCCATTTCTGACAGAAGGCCGCCCGCCAAGCAGCGACCGCTGTCGGTTTTGGACAACATGTCGTGGTGGGCACCGCGCCCATCTTTGTCGTGCCCATGCCGGGCGTCGAATTGGAAGATGCAGCGGGTGCGTTTACCAGCAGGCCAGGGCTGCGGGCTCACTGCGCTGACGAGCTCTGCTGGCGCGGTCGCGATGGGGCGTCGCGCATTCGAGCAGCTGTTACGGGGAGCCGTCTTTGCTTGTTCTGAGCGCACACAGGAAAACACCGACACTGTGATCCCTGGTTGCTTGCGTCGGCGGGCA